GATATGGAAATGACTCTTTTCATATTAATTCTTATGATTTGCTGATAAATATTTTTGTTTCCTTTCTCTAAAATTTTTGGCTATTTTTGGTTTAGAGATGTTACTTCCCAAAGGAGAAATGATTCCATAACAGCATACAACATTGTACTGGAACCTGAGACTACTATTGGCTATTTTGGGCACCTCAAATCACTGAAACTACAGGAAAGAGGCAGGAGGTAGAATTTCCAGTGTACAGGAGAGCCCCTAGAGTGTCATTTAGTCTCTCAATATTTCATGGTGAAAGTTAGTGGAAAACTACAGCCACCTAATAGAGGCAGGACTGTTATTGGCATAGACTCTTCAGGAATGAGAATCTGGGTTACTCTACCAAGTAAGAAACCACAATTAACCAAAACACTTTCTGGGAGCAAAGAAAATATGAAATGGGTAGTAGAGGCAGGAAGTTATAAATGCCATCTCTGATCCCATGACAAGTTATGGTCCCATGATCAAACATGAGAGCACTAGTAAATAGAAAAATTTATTTCTTCCTTGCTTCAAAGTAAGTATATATATTTATGTGTGTGTGTGTGTCTATGCACATGTTTCCCCTTTTCCCAATTCCCTACTATAAAAAATAGCTATTAATAGTGGTTACCTGTATCTCAGGATTAAAGTTATATGATATTCAAAGGACAATTTGACTAAGTAAAAGAGGAATGAGCAAAACCCAATCATAGATAAATCGCATTGCAGGTCCTCTTTGGGGGAGAGGGTTAGCATGTTTTTATTGTACAGAGGCTTTTTGATACAACAACCACCTCGGGTAAAAGAATGACTTTGGTTTTGCATGTATTCAAAAGTAAATATGATTAATATAAGTGAGTATGAAAGCCACGCTGGCAAGGAATACCCATACTAGATCACGCTAAGTCAGTTTGGCTAAGACTAGGAAAAATTAATACAATCATCCCACTTTTCTTCCTGCCTGCGGACCCCGCTGGCCCACAGTGGTGCGGGCCCACTACCAGGTGTTTACTCGCACACCCACAGAGCTAGACGCCTCACAGAGACACTAGCCTCCCACAGAGCCCCTTCAGAACCTCCCCTTGGGAACATTTGAGTGACTGGGCATGCTGGACTTCACAGATTTTCTGCAAGTTCCCACTTGTCCACCCATACCAGTGCTTCCAGCAGATTAGTGTCTCTTTCTCTCATCTGCAATTTCTCTCTTCCAGACTTTCATTTCCCAGCTCCTCCTTTGCTTGTGTTCAAATTTCTATAACTCCCTTATTACCACATATACTGACAGGGACACTGTTTTCCTGACTGAATTCTAACTGGTAACTGTAGCATGAACAAAACTGTGGTTTTGCTGTTCATTTTCTTCAGATAGCCCTTGAAAGAATCCAAGTAACGTATGCAATAATACGTTGTGAAAGTGTGGCTCACCTACGAAATGAACAATCAAACAGGAATGCTGTACCTAAGCCTGCACGTTCCTCTGCTGATGGCAGCCCTTTGGGTTCCACATCCATTAACTGGATTAAATGCAATTACAATGCTCCTTGTTGAAGGACTGCCACCAGGGGGCAAAGATATCTTAATACAAAGTACTAACAGTAAGAGTTATTTATTTAGCATCCAGTATATAAGCATTGCTGTACTCAGCAGTTTATTTAAGCTACTTTTATCTCTATGAATTTCGTAAGTTTGTTATTATTATCCTGTTTTACAGAGAAGAAACCAATGTGCAGAGAATTCAAGCAACCTGCCCAAGTCATACAGCTAGTAAGTCCATGCTAGATTCCTCAAGTCCAAAGCAAGTGCTCCTTCCAGAAAGATATATTGGTATGTACTTTATACCCTTCTTCTATGTTCTCTTTGAGCCCTCTTCTTTTTTCTCATGCATATATATTTCACATTAACCTGGACCAGTCTGAATCCCTTGTAAATCATGCACTATATTCCCTCTCTTCCATTTCTGCCTACTCCCAGGAGGCTATCACATAAGAAAAATTCTGATGAGCAAAACTGCACTGTGTTTTATTGACAAAATAATGGCTGGGTATTTTCATTCACATGGCCTTAGAATTGAAATTCATTCATTAATTTATTTAACAAATATTTACCATGTTTCTAATTAGCTACTAAACGATTCAGTATTAATACTGAGGAAGTAATGAAACATTCCACAATTGGGTCTCTGATTAATATTTTCTACCTGGTATTTTCAATCAGTACAGGATACGTTATCACACAAGGCAGCCCATTTCACTCTTGGACAGTTGTTAACTTTGAAAAAAGTCATTCTTTATGTTCTTTGGAATTCTCTCTCCATAAAAGTTTTTATCTTCTACGCCCTCTACATGATACAGAATAAACCTAATTCATTTTTATTATATGCTAGCTCTTAAAATGTCCCTACCCCTCTTCCCACCCACCCTTAATTAGTGGCTTAGGAGTTCGGGCTTCAAGCAGCATCCAGGGACATTAACGTCAAGATTACAAAGGACTCACTGATGTACCAACATTATCAAATAGTTGGTTGCTTTTGTACACATGACAATAAAGACTGAACAGTCTGAGGTGAGATCTTTTATTTTAATCATCTTTTTATCCCCTGCGTCTAGCACAGTGCATGGCACAAAGTAGGTTTTTAATAAACAGATGTTGAATGACTGAATTCCTAAGCTAATTCTTTCTGTCTTTTATTTAAATCTGTCAGTGGAAACTTATTTGAGCACCTATTATGTTTTAGACACCCCCTGTACAAAGCTGAGAATGGACAAAATAGACATGAATCCTTCCTCAGACCTTATCGCCTGAAATTGCTGAAGTCAGTACAGTAATTCCACTCCGGATGACCCATACTGTTAATCTTAGAGATGGACAACACTACTGCTGAGCCTTAGTTTCCCCACACACTACTTAGTGGTTGGACAAATGACCTACTCTATAAGAGTATTCAAGTCCTTAAATTATTATAAAGGGTATGGAATGTATAAGGCATCATGTAAACTAACTTAAGTTTTAAGATCATAAAATTATTTTCAATAATTTGAATACTGCCCCAAATGGGTGTTCTTTCCAGTTCAAAAGTAATTCATTTTCTCAAACAGATACATGCACATCATTATATAAACCACATAAATAATCCAGCAACTCTACAATTCTTGTTTTAAACCAGATCTCTATTGTATAATGTAACTTCCTTTAAAGCACAATATTTTACACTTGGTATCCTCTATGGGATCTAACACTTTTCAGAAAAATAGCATTCAGTAAACAGATTAATGCAATATAAATAACTTAAGAATCACCAAGGATTTTAAACTGAATAGCATTTAGGAGATACAAGAACCTCATGAAATTGTATGCAAAACTGTGTAACTGTAGGCCATTTCGTAGAGTTCTTCAGTTTTATAAGAGTCTCAAAGAGGTCTATTACATAAAATGGTTTCTTACTGAGTATATATTAATTGAATATCAACTACTTGCCAGGCTTTGTACTATTTAGGTTTAGAATCTAAAACGTTTTTGTAATGAATGAATACTGAGTGTATCAAAATTTTACAAGATCTGGTTTCTCACATCCACACCATTAAAATTAATCCATAATCTATTAAACATGTGTACATCCTGAATCAACATCAATTACTCTGCAGTAATTTAATATGACATTTTCTGGTAAAATATGCTTTGGAAATATATTTTTAATGGCTTTGTAGAAAAGCCTTCATGATAATAGAACCAATAGGGCTTTAGCATATATCTACATAGATACATATATATATATATGCATATATACGCAGGCACAAGTACATAAATATAATTAAAGAAATCCTTCTAAAAGTAATAATAATTAAAGAAATATTTAGTGAGTCATACTGCTTAAATTGTTTAAACCATCTCTAATTTGTCAACTGTCTTTTACCACAGCTGGGTTTCCATTTATTCCTAACAATAACAATGAAACAACTGTCCTTCAAAAAAATGATGGCATATATAAGAAAATTTTATAAACTTGTTTGTAAGCAGTTTCCTCAGGGACTTTCCACTGACTGAAATAAATAGCTTTCAACTGCTTCAGATGGAAAACAAAAAGCATTTTTAAAATCTCAAGAATACCTCCAAAATTTAATGGCAATTTTTCCTCTTTGGAAATCTTGTATCTCTCCTCAATGTATTCAGCATTATCTGTCTAGATTCAGTCAATATTTATGTGAGCAGCTATTTTCTGTATTAGTTTCTGTTTTCTGGTTAGTTTTCCGAATACAATTATTTTTGCCTTTGAGAATGGCTGCCATATTCCTGTCCCAAACATATATGTCTAGGGATATTTCCCCAGGTGCAGTGGAAACCACACTTAAAGATTAAAATTTTCATCCACAATAGATGTGCACTTTTCAATATGAAAATTTTAATGTAGCATGATCCAAAGTGATTATTTCAAAAAACTGTTAGTTTATACTATTAGGAAACATTGCGTTTCTAATTCATGTACTCCGCAGAACTGAGTTGCAATTAGTGATAGTGACCAGAAGATGGCGAAGTTTCATTTCCTAAGATTTACTTTACAGGCCTTTGTGTAAATCATGTTATCTTTTAAAGAGAAATGTTATTTAATGACACCTGTTTTCATAAATGGCAGGCAAGAAATGAAATAAGACATTTATAAAAAATAAAAACTTAAAAATTCTCAAAAGTTTCACTTATTACTAATCACTTATCTTTAAATAAAATTTGAATAACTTTTTTCTCTTCTGTGAACAAGGAACAAAATAGAAGAAAAAGTTTTAAAATAGTAATTACTTAGAATTATCACAATTATTCAATTCTTCCTTTTGGTTCATTTTGCTTTACACTCAAAGATATATTTTATAACGATAAACCCCACTTTTCAATAAAATAAAAACAAGTATACTTTTAAAATAGGAATTTTTAAAATGATAAGTTAGAGAAAAAATTAATTCAAGTAAAAATATTTACTGAAGTAGCTTTATTCAAGGCACATATTATACAATGTTCAAATGCTTCTTTCACTTAATTGCTAGAGAAGGATCTTCAGATCTAAAATCTATTATATTGCTTCTAAAAAATAGCATTTTTAAGTCCTGGCAATCCACTTATATACATATTGAAGTACATTAATAGATATCTGTGTGTGTGTGTGTGTGTGTGTGTGTTGCATGCTTATAGAAATACTCCAGAAAGGGAAAATGGGCAGATACATTACAGATTATCCTGATTCAGTCTGGAATACAATCTACCACCAGTTATTGCATCTTTACTGGGAAGGCAGGAAGAATCCCTAATCATCCCTGAGAAGGCATAATCCAAAGCTGGCCGAAAAGGCAAGGCAGGTACCAACCCAGGCATTAGGTAGGGTGACATAAAACCAGATAGCCCTCTTCTTGGAGAAGAATATGCCAGCCGTAATGGACTGATACCTAGTCTAGGATTTAAGCTGTAGAGACCTGAATCACCTCCATAAGAAGCAGAAGTGGTCTGAAGAGGAGAGAAAGCTGATTTATTACCTAGAGTTCCAAAACTAATTCCAGCTAAACTAAAATTTGAAGCTCTCTGAAAGGCTGTATTTTCCAGTTCTCCTGAGCTTGCTAGGTTCCTGGTGTCTGGTTTGTGTTCTTTCCCATTTAAAATCTGTTCAATGGCTTGAACCACATCCCCTTTGCAGACCTGTAGAATCTCTTCTAGCCGGCTGAGCCTGTAACTTGGAAAAATCTTAGTAAGGATATCTAGAGGATCTCTTGGTCTTGAGGACACTGTGGGAAGGCTGGTTCTGGCAGCAGTAAAGTCTTTGGCACACTCACTTTCATTTCCTGATTCCAGATCAGAGGATGATAAGGACCTGGGACTCTCTTCACCTCCTGATTGCTGCCCAGGGTAAGGAGATTGGATGCTATCCTGCTTATTTGAATATTCTGAAATAGATGGCTTGATGCTTTGTTTCCCAATGACACCATTAGACCTAGGAGAGGATCCCAGGGAAGGCTGATGGGATTTGGAGATCAGTTCTTCCTGTCCACTCTGGCATGACTCACATTTCCTCTCTTTTTGTCCTGGAGAAAAGAGGGGGAAAAAATCAAATATAGGGAAAATTTCCCAGAACATAGTACTGCTCATGTAAAAATAATGCTGGATAAAATAATTCTTTCACTCATAATATAATAGTAATATTTATGCACCCTAAGACATTTTAATGAATAACTCAAATTTAAAAGATCATTCAGAAATGCAGGTGCTAAAATAGGAGGAAAATGCTATTTCTTATGTCATTTCAGAATCACAAAAATATACAATATATAAATGCAGTTGTATTTAGGAATTAGAAGATGAGAGTCAATTGTTACCCTAATGTGTTAACGTTAAGAAACACCAATATGGCACACCGTTTGTCCTATCTTGGCAGTTTGGGATCTTCCTAAATGTCACCCAAGTTTTTGTTATCTAAGCGATATTTTTTCACAATGATACTATATAAAAAGAACTCAATGAAATGGTTAAGTTTAGATAATAAATCTAAAAAAGGAATAATCTTAGTTTGAAATGAATATTCCATTTAATCACTAATGCTAAATTTCAACAATTGTTTTTTTATGCTCACATTTCAACTTCCAATTAAGTTAGCTGAATAATGTAAAAAAAAAAAGACCAAAATTGTTAATTCCATTTCAAATTTAAATCAGTAATTGCTGTATCAATCTCAAAGCATACTAAAGCTTGCATATTTTGTTTTATGTGAGAGATTATATATAGACTTGGTATTTTTTTCATAATCCTTCATGAAGGATGAACTTTCTTTGACAGCCCCTAAGAAATATCAAGAAAAGACTTTAAAACAAAATTGTTTATAAAAGAGAATTATAAACTCCATTATCAAAATCTGTATGGATCATCAAAATATCTCAAAAACAACATATTAGGCCTTTGCTTCAAATCATACCCACCCTCCAATCTAAGGGCATTTTCTGATAATATTTTTACACAAAGATCTGGTTTTACTATCCCAACACATTGAGCATATTAATAAAACAAAAATACTTTAATACTCTTTTGCCAGACTGACACCAGGAAAATAACAATGCACAGATTCACTAAATAACTTTCACTTTGGTTTACATTTCCTCTTACACTATAGATTTATTTTATATATCTAGAGGTAAGAATAAATTGTTAAGTGGGGGTATTCTGAGTATTTCTGTCCAACATTTTTGGGATAAATACTGCCTAAAGCAGTGATTTTCACCATGATTTGCAATACTCTCATGTTCTCTCCAGTTTTCTTAAGAACCAGTCCTAACTTCTAAAGACATATCTATAGTTTATTTTAAAATTAAAGTAAGTGTGTACAATTTAGCACTTTGAGGGTCAAGATGTCACTATATTAAGTATATGTTGAAAGGATGTTGCTACTGAAAAATTACAAAGACTCTATAGTATTTTCAACTTTAAATAATACAATAAAACTTTCCTAATGAAGTGTGCCAAGTAGAGATATATTGCCACTGGTCCTCCATTACATTTAACTTAAATATATGATTTACTAAATATGCCCCCTGAACATGTGAAGTTTGGACATTTCATCTCTATAGCAATTTATACATAGAATAATTTCTTGTTGTATTGCACCTATAGTACAATATATGCAATGAAATACCAATTGCATAAGGTATTAGAAAATAAGGTGTCTTTAAAATATTGTGATATACCATTTACATCCTCTGTGTCCTCTCAACTCTGATAGCTTGTTTTTACTTCTTCTATTGCATTTATCATTGTATATTATGCCTTGTATTGTAGTTTTTGGATACATACAGCCTGTCTTATTTTGAATATAAGGTTCTTTTGTGTAGGAAAGTCTCATGCACTTCTGAATCACTGTTAGTCTTTGTCTAATAAATGAGTAAAGTAAATAGACTATCTTACTACAGTTCATTGCCATTGTGTGAAAGGAGGCAGTCAATTTAGAAAGTAATTGAAGTAGCCTTTCAAAAACTGGTTTGCTTTTTATAGAGTGTTATCTGAGACAAAGAATAAAATAAAACAATTAACCCTATAAAACAGAACACTTTAGCACCAAAAAAACACATAAATCAATGTTTTGCAGGGAGCTGGCAGCCAGATTTTATTACTGGTGTAGTTTAAGGAATTCTAAGTTTTACTTTCCTTTTATAGCAATTTTACTTAAAACTTTACTCTTCAGCACTCCTCAATCTTTCATGAGAAACTTTTAAAGTCTATTTCATCTACTTAAATAAACTAGAACATCTGTAAAAAGTTCGCATAGGCAAGCACAAAATTACATGTGCTTCATTTCAATACAGAGATACTCTTTTTCAAATGTACATATGTAGTGTTACGATGCAATTTTCACAATTCAAGGAAGGTTTCTATAATAATTAATAATTTGCAGTATCATTGTCATATAATTTAATAGATTATAACCTGTCTTGGACTTACACAAAAATATTGAAATGACATTTTCAGTGGTGGAAGGCTATGAAATTCACTAAAATACAGTAGGATTTACATTGGTAGGAAAAGTTAATTTGGGATAGTTTTTTATATGGCCAATTGCTTTGCAGTCAATAAATAAGAGAAAAACTAAAACTCCTTGGAAAAGTAATCTCCAATATTGAACTCTGAAATTCTCATCAATGGTATTACAAAATAAATTTTACAAAAAGATTTATAGAGAAAGGAGAGGAGGAAATATGCTTTGGTAGATTTCACTCTCTTCCCTAACTTGTAGCTGGCGCCAAAGGTTTGCGCCAAAGGTTTGCTCCAAAGGTAAAGAACTGCATCCACAACCATCAGTGAGTTTCTAGGCAAGATCAGATTAAGTCTGGTTTTAGAGCTGAAAACAGCACAGAGCTACAAAACGCAGCACCTTCACTAAGCTTTTCGCTCACGCCCGCTTGAAGTTCTACACACAGAGAGAAAGTTAAACCAACTTGCGCGCAAATAACTCCACTCCTCAGGCTAGTTGCTCATTTGTGGTCACCCACGCTTTACTTTTACATTATCTTATCCCATCACCTAAGGGAACACTGAGCCCAAGTGAAGGTGACGGGTCTCTAACACCTTCTTCAGCGTCCATGTTACAAAACACTTTCCCAGAACTCAAAGAAGCGCTTCTTTAAAAATAAAAATTAAGAAAAAAAAAAAAAAAAAAACTTTTCCTGCCCGCCTCCAGGGTGCAGCTGCTTGTTTCAAAATGTTTCGCTTCAGAACAACCATTTTCTTGTGCAAAGAGCAAATGAAGGACCAACTCACCTGGCTTTGCCCCGGGACACTCTTGCGGGAACACCTCGAAGGCGGGGGTCGCCAGACCACAAGCTTGACGCAAGGCACACCGTCCCAGCGCAGCCACCGCCGCAGTGTCGCCGGTGGCCGGCGGATTTTCAGTTCTGCCGCAGCCTCCGGAGGCTGGACCCCCGGGCCCAGGGAGTCCGGGACACAGGAGCCTCTGCAGCCCCCGGGCTTCGCTCTCCTCCTGCGCCTGCTGCCTGCGCAGCGCCACCTGGGCGGCCATGACGCGCTGGCGCTCGGCGATCAGCGTGCACTTGGCACACGCGCAGTCCCGCCAGCGGCAGAAGCGCTTGTGGCCCTTGAGCGCCGACACCACGCCGTGGTTGCGACAGCGGGCACACTTGGGCGTCCGCGGGTAGCCGCAGCCCACCGCGCCCACGCCCCTGTCCAGCCCGGGCGCCGGCGGGCAGCCTCCCCCGCCGGAGGTCGCGGCGGCGGCGGCGGCGGCGGCTGCCGCTCTCAGAAAGAGGCTGGGCGGCCGCAGGAAAGCCGGGGCGATGGACATCCCCGAAGGGACCGGCAACGCCGGGGACGGGGCCGCAGCCAACAGCCCGGGGGCCAGGTGCGGTCGGCCGCTACCGCTGCGGTCTCTGCTGCCACTCGGTGACTGCTCCATTCCCGAGAAGTTTCTGGCGAGGGGTGGCGACTGGGAAGTGCGCTGTCCTCAACTCACCCAGCCGGTCTGCGGAGGGGGAGTGGGGGGCGGTAAGGGCGGGCTGTGGCCCCGCTGCGCCCCCCACCCACACGCGGGCAGAAGCTTCACGCCCTTCCCGCCCAGAGCTGGGACGACCGCGTCCCGGAGCAGGAGACGCTCAAAGGCGCAGCTGCCCAGCGAGCCTCTTGGAGTCCCAAGGCGCTACGTTAATGCTCCCAAGCTCTGCGCGGCCTCCGAGCCCGAGAAGGCGCGGCAGGAGAGGCCACCCCGCCCACCCGGTCTCCCCGCCAAGCGCCGAAGCCGGGGGGAGGGCCAGGGGCGGAGAGTGGGGGGCTTCTGGGAGGAGGGGCGCTGGGAGACACCAGAAACCGTCCTGCTGGGCTGCCAGTGGCTCTTCCCCCAAAGACGCCCTTTTCTCCCGCTTGCTTCCTCGTGAGTTTCTCAACTATATCTTTATGAAATAACTGTGGAAGCCTCTCTCTCTTACTGCCCCTCTTAAACAAGATTTGAAGTTCTCCTCTCCCCAGTTCCAAGCTTCTCAAAGGAAGTTTGAAGATCTACATTTTGAGCTCTCCCTGACTTTTGGTTTCCCACATGAAGTCTTCATCACCACAGCATGGCTGGCTACAAATTTGTTCCCCGCAGGAAAGATGTCTTATTTTTAAATGGGTTTTAGGAGTGCGTCAAAGCAAAGGATAAATAATTAAGGGAATTGATTCACATTCAGATTTTTCTCATGTGCATTCTGTTTACACATGCAAATTTGGATTGTGTGTATTATATTTTGAAATGCTGCTTAAAGAAGTTGTGAATACCTTCTCTGGAACTACTTGTAGACAGCAATTGTGTTAAAGCTGTTTCAAAAATACTTCACATGTCTATTGTGAAGTATTGGGGAAGGTCTTTTAGATCAACAACCTTTATTTTCCAGGGATGGAGGGGTTAGGGGCGGGGAGGTAGAGCTCAGGTGGTGATGCAAGCGATGGGGGAGCCGCTGTAAATACAGATGAAGCTTCACTCACTTGCCTGCAGCTCACCTCCTGCTGTGCACACCCTCCCTTACTAAGTTTCATGGAAGACAATTTTTCCACGGGGGGCAGGGCAGGGAAGGGAGGTGAGGAGTAGTGGGCAGCGGAGGTCTATGCCTAGTCCCTAACAGGCTGCAGACCAGTGACAGTATGTGGCCCTGGGGTTGGAGACCTCAGGTTTAGATCATTCTTTAAATGTGCTATCATAAAATATGTTGTAGAAATATGCATTTAATGCCTTTAATTGTAAGAAAAGATCATAAGGCTTTTAAACCAAAAGAGCATCTGAGGCAGAAAATTCATGGAATTTATTCTTCTCAGCACTCTTGTCAGCTCTTCAAGATAATGTCCAGCTGCCTTGACAGGCAATTCATATTCTAGCCCAAAGATGGCTAATGGTATTTTTGCCATTCTACCTATTCACATTCAGGGCAGACAATGCTCCTCTATCTGGGCTTTCTCTTGCCTGGCCATCTACACCATCAGCACCATCATATTCCCATACGGATATCCTGTGGTAGAGGTTTTCTTCCTTTCCCAAATATTAGAACAACCTAGAATAATTTTAAAGATGGAGATACTTCAATCTGAGTATATATTCTAATTCATTTGGTCTGAGTCTTAAACTCTCAAAGCGATGACTACATACAACCAAGGTTTAGAACGACCACCTTAGGAATTTCTAACCTCTGTGTATTCTAACCCAAACTTTTTCACCTCTCTTTAACTTTGCTCAAGTCACTCCTGCCTAAAATCTAGTGATTCTTTAACTGTGGATCTCACATTGATCATATAATAGATGAGTTTTTAGTTCTACATGATCATTAAAGTACAATGAATTACCTAGTAGAAAAGCAATCCCCTCTTCAGTTCTTTTTAAAGATCTTCTGGTTACTTAAGAGAAATATTCAGCTTGGTGCAAGTATGTTTTTAAATTTTTTCTAAGATTTGTTAATTATGCTTTCCAAAAATAACAACTACAAAGAGACTCAGGAAGTAAAATGTTCACCTAGAATTTAACAGTATTTTTCTGTTTTTACTTGATTTGTAAAGTGCTCTTACAATTATGGCAGCTCATATTAGTTTCCCAAAAAAAATAGTACCAATTGTAAATTATACAGTGTCTTTCAGAAAATTAAAAAATGATGGAATATTTCCTAACTCCTTCTGTTAAGACCAATATTACCCTGATAAGACTATGACATCACAATTAAAGAAACTACAAATATTCTTTATTTATTTCTGATTACAAACTGAAACTTCTCAGCAAACTAGAAATAGAAAGAACTTCCTCAACCTGTATGTGTGTACACACACAGCAAACAGCATGCTTAATGATAAATGACTAAAAGCTTTCTTCCTACGATCACCATATCAGTTCAACATTGCACAGGAAATGCTGACCAGTGCAATAAGGCAAGAAAAATAAGTTAAAGATATGCAGATTAAAAAGTATGACATAAAACTCTATTTATCTTTAAGTAACATGACCATCTATATATAAAATCCTATGGAATCCAAAGAAAAAAGAGCTACTAGTACTAAGAAGTAATTTTTGCAAGGTTGCAAGATATAAGATTAATATACAAAATCAAGTGTATTTCTATAAACAAAATCAGACAATCAAGAATAGAAAACCATAGCATTCAAAATATAAAACACTTAGGGATACATCTGATAAAGTGTGTAAAAGACTGAAAACTAAAAAAAGTTTGCTGACATAATTAAAGATTTAAATAAATATTATGTCCATGGGTCAGAAGACTCAACATTGTTAAGATAATTCTAACTAATCTGTAGATCAATGTAATCCCCATACAAATTCTAGCAGACTATTTATTTTTGTAGAAATTGTCAAACTTATTCTAAAATTCATATGGAAATGCAAACAAAGGACCTATGCTATCCAAAACATCTCTGAGAAAGAACAAATTTGCAAAGCTAACATTACCTTATTTCAAGAATTATTACAAAGTTACAGTAATCAAAACAGTGTAGTATTAATGTAAAGATAGAAAAATAAAACAATATCACAGAATTGAGAGTTTAAAAATAGAGCCGCATATAAATATACAACTAATTTTAGACAAAGTACAAAGGTCAATGCAGTGGAGAAAATTAGTTGTATATTTAGACCTATACCTCATACTACATAGAAAAATTGACTTAAAATGGATCAAAGACCTAAACGTAAGTCATACAACCACAAAACATAGAACACTTTTGTGACCTTGAGTTATGCAAAGATTTCTTAGATACAGCAACAAAAAGTATGATCTATAAAAAGAACAAATTGATAAACTGTACTTCATCAAAATTAAATACTTCTCTTCTTCAAAAGACACTTAAGAGAATGAAAAATGGTAACATAGACTAGAAGAAAATAGTCGCAACACATATATCTCATAAGGAACTTGTATACGGAATGTATAAAGAACATTTAAAACTCAATAAGAAAAACAATTCATTCTTTTAATGGGCAAAATTGAATAAACATATCACCAGGGAAGATAAATAGATGGAAATAAGCACATGAAAGGATACTGCACACCATTGGTCACTAAGGAAATGCAAATTAAACCCACCGTGTGATACCACTGTGCACAACCCACCATGTGATACCACTGTGCACGTGTTACAATAGCTAAAATTAAAAAGATTGACCATACCAAGTATTGACAAGGATGTGGAGCAGCTGGGACTCTTAGGCACAGCTGGTAGAAACGTAAAATAGTAAGTACAGCCACCTTGGAAAATAAATTGACAGTTTCTTGAAAAAGCTAAACGTACATCTATCCTCTGATCGAGCCATTCTGCTTCTAAGTATTTATCCAAGAGAAATAAATCAAATGTCCATACAAAGATATGAAATTCAGAGTTGCTTTATTTGTATAGCTGAAAACTGCAAAAACCCCAATGTTTATCAACAGAATAGATTAACAGACTGTGGTATAGCTATATAATTGAATATTACTTAGCAATACAAAACTACTATTCAATATGTGCTTCAACATGAATGCACCTAAGAATAATTATTCTGAGAGAAAGAAGCAAGACAACAAGGAATATATAGTTTATGATTTAATTTATACAAAATCCTAGAAATTGATAGCAATAGAAAGCCTATCAATAGTCCCCTGGAACAAGTTGTAGAGGGATAGGGAAAAGATAGGCAGAAAGGATTACAAAGGATCAGAAGAAAATACTTGGGGATGATGAATGTATCAGTTAATTGTGGTAATGATTTTAGCAATGATTTTTAACACCTGTATTTCTTCTCAGATACACTAGAAAGCCTGAATCTCATCTCTTTTAATAATAGTCCTATTGGTACTCTTTTTTTCTCTATGTATACTTTTTTTTCCTTTTACCCTATCTAACAACAATTGAATACTGTGACTATTCTTATAAGTCACTGAGATGTTAACAGCTGCAATTTTGCAGTAGCAATCGTTTCATCAAATGAAAAGGTAATGCAAAAAAGAAGAAACGTGATTTTAATTAGTCTGTGTGCAAGTATCACAAATGTATCATTTCCAAATTTGTTCTAAATAAAGAAAAAAGGACTCATTTGATAAATGGGAAATGTAGAGGTGTATCAGAAGGAAAGGAGGCTAATAAATATAATTCTCAAGCTCAAAAAATCTGTGCACTGCCTTTTTAAAAAAATTAATTATTATTCATTTCTACTCCAACCTCTTGTCTACCTAGATTCTTGGAGTCAACTGCCATGTTTTTGTTGGTCCACCATACCATCCATTCAGCATAGAAGAGTAGAAGTGTGACTCTGCATTTGTAAGTACAGTAAGTTCTCACTTACCATCATCAATAGGTTCTTGGACTTTAAGCAAAACAATGCATAATGAAACCAGTTTTATCATAGGCTAATTGATATAAACAAGAGCTAAGTTCCTACAGTATATTCCTGGTCACAAAAAAATTACCAAACTTTTAAATAAAAATCACAAATACTTCTAATATTAAAAATTTAAATGTGAG